CACCAGGCTAACCCATCCTCCCACCCCCCTCCCCTCTAGAACCCTCAGTTTGTTTTTCAGAGTCCATAGTCTCTCATGGTTTGTCTCCCCCTCCGTAAATCAAAGCTTTTAACTGTCTGGATTCATAGGTGACTGTATTCTTTCCAGTATGCATTCTTTCTTCTTCCAGGGGTTGTTCAGTAACGGCAGGTATGTTCCTGCCATAAAGTTCACATTGTTGTAGAAACTGGACACATTCTTGAATAACACTGTCAAGAAGCACAATCATGTGTTTTGACATGTTTTCTAATAAGGACAGGAAACATCTTTTGGCATAATACCAGGTATCAGCTCCCAGTTTCTTATGGTAAGGTTCCAGGCTTTTGATAACCCGAGAAATACCAAAGTCATAATTTCCTTTTGCACCATAGAGGGTCCCTATCACCAAATTCACAATGCAGAGGTGGTAGATTTTCTTATCTGGGTCATCATAGGACAGCTGCTCTTCCTCCTTTTCGATCTTTCTCATCAACTCCTCAGCTTCTTCATTCTGACTTGTCATAATGTATGAAACACACAGATTAGCCAGCACAATAGCACTGACGTTCAGGATGTTGTCATAATGCTTCTTGACTATGGGTTCATAGAAACCGATAGCTTCTTTGTATTTGTTTTCCTGCATGAACAGGACGTGAGCCACATTCAGCTTCCACACATCATGGTCATTACAGAATTCCACAGATTTGCGGAAGATCTTTTCCACCACTGGATAATTCTCCAGGTTCCAGTAGATCTTTGCCTGGGCCATCAACACGGGAATATACTTCTCCAGAGTGTCATCATACTCATTCACTGCCTTTTTGACAGCTTCATCGTCCCTACTGTGTCTTGCTTCCTGAACTTGTATGGTGAGTCTCCGGAGCTGTTCAGTCAGCATCCCTGCTAGTCCATCAAGCTTAATGAAAGCCTCCTCAGGGGCTGTCTGGCAAGTGATCATGGCATCCAGGAAGTCATAGAGATAGGGTGTGAGCAACCTGTAGGTCAAATGGGCATTCTCTGCCAGGACATCGGCTGCCAGGTCAAAATACTCATACTTACAGTAGAGCAACAGCAGGTTGCCAAAGGTCTCTGGGGGAAAGGGGTTCTGCTGGAGCAAAAATTGTAGCTTTTCAAACCCCTCCGTAGGCCTGGCGTCCATGTTCATGAGCGCCTGGTTGTGCAGGGTCACGGGGTCTAACTCTTCTTCTGCCCGAGGTGGCATGTCAGTGAGGGCTTCCTGGGCCGCCTCATAGTTTCTCAGTTGGTACTCGATGGCTGCCTTGAGGTTGAAGGCTTCCACCAGGGCAGTCTGGTGAAGGACTAAGGTGTTGCCAACGCTTCGAACATCAATGCCCTCCGTGGTCATGCCCACACCTAGCTCCGGGTGCTGGCGGATGCCACGCTCAATGATGTCGGCGATGTACTTGAGCGCCGGGGCATAGTGCCGGCGGCTGTAATAGGCCAAAGCCAGGTTGTAGGAAAGGTCAGGCCGGTAGCCCGAAGCCTGGAGGGCCGCCAAGAACTTGGAGCACGCGGCTTCATACTGGCCCTCCTTGTAGAGCAAACAACCCAGGTTGACCTGGCCGTCGGGCTCGTTCTCGCCCCCACCGTCCTCTCCCCCTTCCCCACTCAGCAGCTGCTCCACCAGGCTCTTGGCCCCTGGCAGGTCGCCCTCGCTGTACTTGATCGCGGCTTGCAGACGGAGGACCCGGCTGTGGTAGGCGGGGTTGTCCAGCAGGAGGAAGGCCACGCGGGTAGCCTCTGGGTAAAGGCAGGCCTTGTACAGGGCCTGGGCCTGGTACAGGCGGTACTGCTCCAGTTCGGGGTGCAGCTGGCCCAGCTGCTCATAGCACTCGGCGGCCAGCGCGAACTCCTGCAGGCGGTAGTAGCAGTAGCCCAGCAGCGACAGGCCGGCGCGGCTCCTCGGGCTCCGCTGGAGCTCGCCGCCCAGCAGCTGCACCGCCTCGGCGTAGCGGGAATCGCGGATGAGGCGGTACACGACGGCGGTGAACTCCCCATCCGGGATCTGCGCGCCGCTCAGCCCGGCCATAACCGCCGCGGTGGTGGTGCGCGCTGGTTACCACGGCAACAAGTCCGCCGGAAACGGAAGACACAAAGAATATTTCAGTTTTTTTCTTTTTGTGGTTTTTTGCTTACTCCAAAGTTACTTTGCAAGGTGAAGACCAGACTAGGGTTAGAAAGGAGTCACTAATGTATCTCATATATGGCCTGTCACCAAGACTCCAGAGTGTGAGCGGCGTTAGCAAAGAAGAAACTCCTCCAGGTAGTTCGGGGACCGAAACTCCACGTCCCGTCATGCTCCGGTCCAATCGCGCCGCTGTCCTGGTCGTGACCGCGTTGCATGCTGGGAGGCGTAGTCTCTGCCGGGCGGACGCACAGTCGTCAGGAGGTGAGGTTTCACTGTTTCCCTTTCTTTAGGGTTTACACTTGGTGCTACACCCTGCCTCGATCCTCCAAATTTCACTACTACATAGAGACGGTGGAAAGATGTATGACCTAGTCTTTTCCAGGGTGGGGTGGGAATAAAAGCACGACCAAGTGTCCCTAACCTGTTAACTCCTCTAACTCTCCAAAACGACTTTTGTGTGTGTGTGTGTGTGTAAAGAGTGTGTGTGTGTAAAGATTGATTCAGCCTGTACGTGTGTGTGAAAAGATTGATTCAGCCTGTACGTGTGTGTGTGAGAAAAGATTGATTCACCCTGTACGTGTGTGTGTGTGTGTGTGTGTGTGAAAGAGAGATTGATTCAGCCTGTACTTGTCAGGCTTTAATGTTTTTGGATATCACTGATAAAAACTGATTTTCTTTCAGTTAAAATAAAAAGAAAATTTCCTACACTTTAATTTTTTTCTCTCGGATTCTTAGTTTGAAGATCTCTGGAAATTTGCTATGGTACAAAAAAAATCCTGGATTTTCTTTTGTTCCTTTGTCATATATTTGGAATAGATACTCTAGATTCCATGTTACTATCTCTGGTCTATATTTGTATAAATACTTTTGAATTCAATATTGTCCCTCATGGGACAGTGGAAAACTAGGGACTTAATTATCCTATAAAATTATAATGGATCACTAATAAAAAACATACCCATAGTTTAGACTGATACGGAGACTGTAAAATTTGTGAGAAATGAATATAATTTTTCAGTCAGGAAGTAGAGACATAGACAAGATAGCAAAAGGCAAAACTGGCTTATCCCAGTGAGGTAACACCAGTTCTTAAGATAATAAAATTAGCTGTAGTTTATGGAGCACCTGGGTGACTCATTTGGTTGAGTATCTGGTTCTTGATTTTGGCTCAGGTCATGATCTTGGGGTTGTGGAATGAGCCACATGTTGGGCTCCATGATGGGCATGGAGCCTGCCTAAGAGTCTCTGTCTGCCTCTCCTCTCTCTCTCTCTCTCTCTATATATATATGTGTGTGTGTGTGTGTGTGTGTCTCTCTCTCTCTAAAGGAAAAAAAATAGCTATAATTTATGAATATCGTATGCAGTGCCTTGGGGTAAGAGGGTTTTCTTTCATAGTCTTCCACATTTCCATTGGCCTCACTACAATCCAAGCTAAACATAGTCCAGGTAAAAGCATGTCTTTGCTATATAATTAAATATTTCAATGCAAATCCCTTATCTGCCTCAATAGTATTGCAGCCTATAAGCCTTTTCTATAAATACATTTTGGAGCCAACATCAACCATATTGCAGGGCACTCTATGACACTGTTTACATAGATTATCTCTAAGCTTAATAATCACCCGATCTCTGCTTATTAGATAGAGAAGAAAAAAAAAAACCCAGCTGAGCCATGACATCCAAAAGCTAAGTTATTAGGAAAGAGAGACTGTTGAATTAATTGAATGTATGTATTACCTAAGGGCCCATTTTTGAGGGAATACTAGTGTCTTTTTTTTTTTTTTTTTTTGGTTGTTATTTTTCCTATTAAAACAATCACCTTGATTTGGGCATTAAAATTTGAACTTCCTGGCCTGAGTTGCAGCTGTTAGCAGATGTAAGGAAGTGATTGGTGAGTGGCAATGTAGTTCCTAGTCACCTATTATAGCTGAAAAGAGATTTCAATAAGGCATCTGGATACTATACTATCAAGCAACTGACTTCATGTACTTATGCATTCTTTTCCCTTGTTGAGAAATTTGCCAAACTTGTGTTCTTCTAGATGGGACCAGATGAGGAGCCTTTCACTGCATGAAGACTAACAAAAGGAGAAACTGCACACATTTCAGAGGAATTGAGGGGGGCCCTGGGCCACTCGAGATTCCCTGAGAAAACAGCTGAGGAAGACCACTATATAACCCTACTCAAAAGCTTCTTCCAACCCAGTCTCTGGCTGCAGCCTTTTCTGGTCTTCAACTAAAGGAGGTACATGGCTTGAGGGATGCTAGCTAGTGTGGCTGAATAGTCAAGAAATAGAGTGTCTTCTCCTTTATGGCTGCCTGATTTAACACTTATTGCTTGAAAAAAAATTCTTATTCAGAAGGCTCAATATTTTATTTTATTTTATTATTAAAAATTATTTATTTATTTATTATTCATTCATTCATTCATTCATTCATTCATGAGAGAGAGAGAGGCAGAGGGAGAAGCAGACTCCCCGCTGAGCACAGAGCCCGATACGGGGCTCAATCCCGGGACCCTGGGATCGTGACCTGAGCCGAAGGCAGACGTTTAACCGACTGAGCCACCCAGGCACCCAAAAGCCTCAATATTTTAAAATCTTAATGTATTTTAAATTCTTATGTATTAAGCTGTTACCTTTGGTAATTTGCTATTAAATCAAGGTGAAATGACAGAACATAGAAATGGGAAATTGCCTTTTATATCTTTTAGTCTGTTTCAGAGTTGTATCACGAAAGCATTCACCTTCAAATGGCTTCTTGGAAATGGATGAAAAATGGACTATCTGCTCTCCCCCAAATTTCCCTGATCCCTTCAGGAGTCAGTTGGGGGCCCCTCTGTGTTGGTGCCTGTCTGTGGGCGTGGCAGCTGACGGGGGCAGGAGGGAGGCTGCTCTGTGTCTTTCCCCTTGTTTCATGTGCTACTGTTCCTGAGGCCTGGCTTGAGAAAAGCAGGACATTCGGTTTAGACAGATGGAGGGCAGGGTCATTTTCAAAATGAAATGAGTGCACAAATCACACTGTGAAATTGGCATGACCATCACTGCTGCTGTGAACACTGACTTTTATTTAGTCTCTGATAGGCAGTTGGGGAATAGATTAGCGTTTTTGGGGGGGAGGGTGAAAGAAGGCCCTTTAATTAATGATAGAAATTCTGGAAAGCAATAAATGGGATGGAATATTATAGAATGTCATAAAGGCTCATTTTGTTTCCAACAGAATCTTGAAAACTGGAGCATGTATCAAAAAGTAAATGTATCGTACCTTTCCTAGCAATAAGAAAGCACTTGGTGGTTGCAATAAAATGATTTAGTGCCTTATTGAAAGAAACGAGGCTTTGAGAAAACGGTGTTGGGTTCAATGGATTTTGCTGCATGAGGGAGGCATGTTTACCACGTAGAAGAGTTCCATTCAGGCAAAATGTGTAGGAGCTAAAAGCATGAGGTTTGGTTCTTCATATGCTTATGTTTCTGCCTGCTAAACCGTGAGATGATCAAATCCTGTTCTATTTGTATGTGTAATCTATTGGGCGTTATCTTGTAAAACAGTTGGAAGCTTTGATTTCTTATTTATCCCTCAAAAGGAATCCTTTCCTATTGGTAAATAGGTCATTTCTGAACATCTCAACTACCACAGCCGTGGGCAGACATCTTCCTTGATAACGGAAGACCTTCTGCAAAACCATTTGCCAGTTGTTCTTTCTTTTTCCCTCTCATTGGCAGGCCATTTTCTTCAGGATGGCCAGTTTCAGGAGCTCAGTTGCCTTGCTTCCTCTCAACAATAAACAGGGAAAAAGAATAAATTAGTGCCAGTTGGTAATGGAATTGGCTTTTAGGAGCATCTGTTCAATCTTTTAACACTTTTGGAAAAGTTGTATACCAGATCAACACTTGGGGACATTTATGCTCAGATAGTAAGCCATTTAACCTCATTATGAACTCTCCTTTTGCTGGTAGTTTCAGCTTTATTAATATTTTAATTAGATTTCCTTCTTGGATATACCTTGGGTTGTTTTTTTTTTTATCAAGTTGCTTATATTTGGGTGCTCACAGTATTATTATCTAAATTAACTTACAGGGGGAGCACAATAGCATTATAGTTCGTAAATGGAATTAGTAGAGAAGGCACAACTGTGGATACTGGCATTTAAAGAAAGCAGTCAACTGGGGCGCCTGGGTGGCTCAGTCGGTTGAGCGTCTGCCTTCGGCTCGGGTCATGGTCCCAGGGTCCTGGGATCGAGCCCCGCGTCGGGCTCCCTGCTCTGCGGGAAGCCTGCTTCTCCCTCTCCCACTCCCCCTGCTTGTGTTCCTGCTCTTGCTATCTGTCAAATAAATAAATAAAATCTTTAAAAAAAATAAAAAGAAAGCTGTCAACCATCCAAAGAGTTACTCTAAGCTTCGTGTTTATGCAGTACTTTCTGTACCAGGACCAGGTCCTGCTTTGCCTAACTCCCCTCATTAATCCTCACAGCCCTTCCGTGAATTAGGCGACTCTTACCGTTGGCCCCACTGGAAAATCATGGGCAGCAAAACACAGAAAGAAGCCTGTGTGGTGGCTGCAGCCAGCACATGGGGACTGGCGATTGCTCCGGCTGGCCGGTAGGGGCCGCCCTACACCTCTTCCCTCGCTTCCCCTGGGCACCGCCTCTCCAGTCGTTTGAATTGGCTTTGGATCATTTGCTGCAGTTTGTTCTAATAGAACAGGCACAATGGTGGAAGAATTTTAAAGTTTAAACACCGAAGCCGTTGTGTAATTGTATGGCGTCAGTGTGGCTGGCAGCCTTGCATTGATGTGATCCCCCTGTGTAATTGCCCATGCAAATTCGAGCAATCTGTAACGGACGCGGGAGCCCGCGTTCCGCCGCGGCTTCTCCCTCCAGAAAATCTTCAATAATTCGAGGAACCTTTTGTCATCTTTAAAATGCTCCACGGACAGGACGGTCTCAGGATCCCTCTCAGATGGGCAAACATCACAGATCAAGACGAGGTTAATGGGCTAAATTGACAGTCTAAATTGTCGCTATTCGGATGCATGCTTGCCTCTTTCAGCCTTTAGATCACCGTTCTCAAGAGAGAGAAAGATTATTCCAGAGGCTTCTTAAACTTTAAGCGTTTTATTAAAAACAGATATTTAGGTCTCTTAAAGCAGACTGTTTCAAGCTCATGAATTGGCTGCTTGGGAAATGGCCACGCGATCTGCAAGGTAGTATTCTTACAATGAAACATCAGCCTGGCAGATCTGCGCAAAGAGAGTGACTTCAAACAACTCAGCTGAAGAGAATTTCCCTTCTTTTGTGTAGAACAATAATAATTAGGAAGCAGATCCGGGGGGATCCTTTTTAGATTATTGTATATCAAAATAAAAAGGCAAAAGCAGTTTTCCCCCAAGGGAATGAGACTTAACAAAACCTAGTCTCTTATTTCCATAGTATGCCGTTTCTTTCTTTCTCTCTCTCCCCACCCTTCCTCCCTCCCTCCTTCTCTCTCCCTCCCTCTTCCTTCCTTCCTTCCCTTTTTCTTTCTTTCTCTTCTTTCTTAATTCATCTAAAGATGATTTGATCTAAATCTATAGAAAAATTGAGATTCTAATACACACATATATATACACAAAGTGAACACAAAGATAGATGATAGCTGCAAATAGCACATTTTGGTCTCAGCGAATACTTCATTTACTTAATAAACATACTTCTTTCTGTGCCAGTGTATACATTCGACAACATTGGTATAGATATGCCGCACGATAAACAGCTGATCTTTAGCCCTGTTGAGAGATGTGCCAAATATGCAAGAACATTCAAAATTAAATTAGGGAAGATGTAACCCCAAATTGCTAGTTGAGGAAAAGTAGTAACACGAACAATGTGAGCAGGACACCAGGCATTGCTGAACCGTGTGCTGCTCATGACAGTCCCTGGACACGCTTCATTTTGTTTCTGCCATCTCTGTCTTGGATTCTGTGACTGCTCACTTAGGCAACTCTGGCCTTCTTGTAGCCAAGACTCAGCCTTTACATTTCCTGCTGCATTTGAGTTTGGGGAATGCTTGACAGCAAGCGGCAGAACAACTGTTTCAGAGGCTGTTAGGCTGAAGCAGATAATGAAACCTCCCTGTGCTGGTGTGGCCAGAGTTTTTAGGGGCCCAAATTAGGTTTTGTTCTTGTTCTGCTTAATGAATCTTCTTTGAGTTTTTATTTTTTCCAGCCCAGACATTTTTCTTTAGATTTAAATCTCCCCCAATATGTTTAGATTTCTGTCCTGCTTGAAGGGAGTTGTTTCACACTATTTCTAGGGACGAGACTATATTTTATCTTTCGGCAATTCATTAAGAGTCAGCAGGAGACATGGATTTTAAAATAATTGTACCGCAAAGTAAATTGAGCAGACTCTGTTTAATGACCTAAGGTAAGGGGATAAAGTATGATAAATCTTGATACATGAAAAAAATCAACTGAATTCCTGTAGTGTTAACATTAGATAATATTGTTATTACACTAACAAAATGTTAAAGATTATTTCTAACCCAACGCAATGTGTATGCAAATATAAAATACCTGGAAGTGTATAGACATCTCAGATCTTAGAAATAAAAAACACATGCAATTTTAATTTCATCTGACTCACTTTATAAATTGACTTCTAAATTAAAGTGACTGCCATTTATGGGACATCTAGATATGAGATAATCTAAAATTGTCCTCTACGAAGTAAAAGGGTATATTTTTTAAAAAAAATGTACTGATGACCATATCTTTCATGATCACTAGAGGCAGGCTCAGATGTATCTGTGGTAAGGATGTTTTATATCTATCCGTGTATGTAACTTTTTATTTTGTCTTTAGAGAGAAGGTGACCTCTGTAGGTGTGCTCCTCTTTTATTTGAGAAGAGTAAATAAGACCTTTATGTGGAAATCATTTTAAAAATTAAATACAGCTTGGTCCTGAAATGGTACAGAAATGAACTTAATAAGAGCCAGCGCTTTTATTTTGCAGGTGGAAAACCCAAGACCTGGAGAGTCCCAAGAGAACAGGTCCAGCTGGTGGCCAAGGGGATGGGGAGCCCCCATTGGCTGTGCATTGCCTGGTGCCCTTTACAGTTTGCACGCTGTCCCTCCTGGCCAGGATCGCAAGCTACATCATAGGTTGTGCATGTATTATGTACATTTTGACTAACAAGAAAATAAATAGCATGTCTGAAAAAAATACATCACGCGGAGAAAGTAGGATGAAGTCATTACAACAATTAATGGCCAAGAGACTGGAGGAAGCAAACATCGTCTGGTCAGGTGAAGGTTTTATAAGAAGGCTCACATTTCAATTGCCTTCCTCCAGTAGGAAATAAACATTAATAATAAGGACTGAGGGCGCCTGGGTGGCCCAGTCGTTAAGCGTCTGCCTTCGGCTCAGGTCATGATCCCAGGGTCCTGGGATCGAGTCCCACATCGGGCTCCCTCCTCAAGGGGAAGCCTGCTTCTCCCTCTCCCACTCCCGCTGCTTGTGTTCCTGCTCTCGCTATCTCTGTCTCTGTGAAATAAATAAATAAAATCTTTAAAAAAAAAAGACAGAAAATTTCTGTGTATTGTAGAAAAGCAGAGTACATAGATAACCACACATCCCTCACAGTCTTGGGAAATTATGCATTATTTAGAAAAGGGATTAAAAATATCTCCAACTTGCAAGTGTTCAACCTCTCACCCCCCTGGGGTTGCACAGGGAGGGCGCTGCTGTCCTTTCCACTGCTTCACGGTCTCTGAGGAACAGACCCATGGCATTAGTCAGCAGTTTCTGAATTTTGACCCACAATAGGAAAGATACCTCAAGACAGGAGAAATAGATGGAGGCAATTACACACAGCTACTTGATTGATGGTTGACATTGTCAGGGCTCCAGTGTACGGCAGATTGTGATGGTGTTGAACTCCCCTTGCTACCAGTGGATGTTGCTATTGGCAACCGTGCAGTGAAGCCAATAAAAAGGCAAGAAAATGAGACGAAAGCTCAACCTTAGTGGAAGCCGTAGGGTTTGTGCTATAAATTATGTTCCCCTTAGCAATATGTAGCATCAACGTTCAGGGCGGCTACAGTACCCGTAGCTGCCTGCAGTCTCCGTCAGACCCTGGGTCTAGTTTTAT